GGAGCTGAAACTCTCAGATGTAATCACTATGGGGGAATTCAGGTCCATCTTAAAGGACAGAGAACACGACACCATTGGTAGATGTGAGTGCTCGTATATCCTAACATCGTTTTAAATGTTGCCAGTTTTTGAATGATTTTTAATAGTTTGTTTTACTTCGCATATTGACTGGCTATTTTTATTTGTGTTTTTCGGCTGTATTTGTCCGCCTGTCATGTCTGTGTTTTATCTGTTGTAACTTTGTACATGCTGCCCTTCTTGGCCAGGTCGCTCTTGGAAAACAAATTTGAATCTCAATGAGTCTTTTACCTGGTTAAATAAAGGATATATATAAAACCATAACAAATATATTAAGCAAAATGTCATACCTGAAATACATAGTCCGTCTTAGTACTCCTGCTCCTGCTGGGCGGCCAAACAGCTACTGCAACTGAGGCTAAACTTCAAGGTTGATGAGGGAGGGGTAAATGTTGTTGGCATTTCAATACAATTCACCAGGAGAGTTTTCTTAACTAGTGTAACGAATTCTGGTGGAGCTTAAAATAAATGAATTCGAAAAATGTACCTCTCACGAAGGACACAACCATATTCCTCATATATTCATATATACGTCTTATGTGTCTCTTCCTCTTGAGTAATGAAGTTGACGTCTTATATCGTGAATCAGATTGCATACGTAATAATACAGTTCATAAACACAGGATTAGACGATGTCTCTTCTTCGTGTCTTTGTTGTGTCCCCTCCTCTTTAATACACATGTTAATATATTGTATTTCTCTCTCTCTCGCTCTCTCTCTCTCTCTCTCTCTCTCTCTCCTCAGCTGAGTTGATCGGTGATGTCGGGAAGTAAGGCTCTGGGCGCCCCGCAGCGGCGCACTCGGTGCCGGCGCTGCCAGGCCTGCACCAGGACCAACTGCAGAGAGTGCCGCTTCTGTAAAGACATGACGACGTTTGGAGGACCGGGATGCATGAAGCAGTGCTGCAAGAAGAGAAAGTGCACTGCGGTGAGACACACACACACACACACACACACCAAGTAACAGAGTAACTACAGAGTAACTCTACAGTATCCCAGCTATCTGTGTGTGAGTGATGTTTCTCATGTTATAAATGTTTTCCAGCTCAACACATTCGTCAGGGCAGCGTTGTTGAATGTTAACTCGATGAAAGAAAAAACGTCCAAAATCTCAAAGCTCATCACAGACAACCAGCTGAACGTCTTTTTCTCCACCGAGACGTGGTTAAAGTCGAGCATGGTCCTCAGGAAGGCTTCGCCCCCAAACTTCGATTTCATCCATCATCTGAGTAAAGTTACCGGGCGTAGAGGGGTAGCTATCCAGTTCTCTACAGACTTGCAAGTTAAAGAAATTCCAAAGGATAAAGAGATGAAGACCTTTGAATACGTGGTGGCAGTTCTGAAACACGACGAATGGGAAGAACCCGTCCTGAGCATCAACCTCTATCGCCCGTCAGAGAAAACCTCTTACACCGTGGACATCATCACCAACTTCCTGGAAGAGTTGCAGGAACTTTTGGATCAGGTTCTCCAAAACTACAACAACATCCTTGTGACCGGAGATTTCAATATCTGGGTTGATTGTGAGGAAATGAAGTATGTTCAGAAGTTTCTAAATTTTCTATCGGACAACAGCTTGGTTCTGCACCCAACGGAGTCGACCGTCAGCCGCTCCAATCACATACTGGATCTGGTGCTCGTCAGAAATGTTGAAATGTCTGATGTTAAAGTCCAGAACGACCACATATCAGATCATTACACCGTGTATTTCGACCTGAGGCCAGAGCGGAGACGTTAAAGGAAAAAACAAAATGAGGATGGGAAACAAATTCAAAAAGGTAATTTTTATTTTTCTCAAAGTGTGAAGTAATACAGGACTCGTTTAAGGTCTGATTCTGAGAATTTACTTCAGTTTTAATTTCCCCCAATGAAACAGCGTGGTTCTACACTTAAGATCTGCACATCATCTCCAGGATGGAGCTGCCCTCTATGGAGGACCTCTACTCCCAGCAGCTCAGGAAGAAAGCCCTCAGGATTATCAAAGACCCCCATCACCCCAGCCACAAACTGTTCTCTACTGCAGCATCCGGACTAAAGCCAAAGACTCAGGGACAGCATCAGGACTAAAACCACCAGACTCAGGGACAGTTTCAGGACTAAAACCACCAGACTCAGGGACAGTTTCAGGACTAAAACCACCAGACTCAGGGACAGCATCAGGACTAAAACCACCAGACTCAGGGACAGCTTCAGGACTAAAACCACCAGACTTAGGGACAGCTTCAGGACTAAAACCACCAGACTCAGGGACAGTTTCAGGACTAAAACCACCAGACTCAGAGACAGTTTCAGGACTAAAACCACAAGACTCAGGGACAGTTTCAGGACTAAAACCACCAGACTCAGGGACAGTTTCAGGACTAAAACCACCAGACTCAGGGACAGTTTCAGGACTAAAACCACCAGACTCAGGGACAGTTTCAGGACTAAAACCACCAGACTCAGAGACAGTTTCATCCCACAGGCCATAAGACTGTTAAACACCTGAACTCTGTGAAGAACATCCATAACATTCATCTAGCTGCAACTTAGAGATTATCTATCTAATATATAATATTCAATCACTTGTAGACTCTTCTTGCACTATTTCACTATTTTACAATTTTTCTTTTGTATTTACTTGCACTATATTTCTGTCTATCTGTGTTATTGTGTTGCTCTGTGGGAGGAACCTGTGACCAAAGATTTTCATCATAATAACTACACTGTATCTCTGTACACATGACCAATAAAAGCCTTGAACCTTGAACGATGGAAAACACATCTGTTTGCTGTCCTGTCTCCTGATTGGTGGAATCAGTAGTGATGTTACGTATTGCGCCGAGGCTTCGGAGCGTGTGTCGAGTAATCCCCGAAGCATTTTGTGAAGCTTGTATCGAGGCTTGTATCGTTTTGGGCCAGTGACGTCACCGATGACAAACGAAGCCTCGCTGCCTGTCGATACCACGTGACTGCTTCAGGAAGCGTTTCAGATCCATTGAACCGTTGAACCACAACGCTCATAATAACCATGGATGTATAATAAGAACCATATTACCCCTCCTGTACCCGGGCCCGGTGCCGACACGATAGAATTAAGAGAGGCCAGACCCTCACTTATATAGAGGTCGGAACATGTCATACGTATAAATAAATAAAAGCATAAATAAATGTAGGAATACAAAAATAAATAAGAATAAATACAGGAATAAATATAGTGCTGTGGTGACCACGTATTTAACCACTGGTTCATAATTCAAACTGGGAACTACAGTTGCGGCTATTGTTCCCGCACGGATATTTTATGTGTTGCCTATATATGGTGTGTGCCCTCTTGGCTCTTCCTCTTGTCGACCCGACAACATGTCTTATTCTGCTCTCTATTAAAGTCCCCTTTTCACATCTCCATTGCACCGCCTCCGACTCCATGTCCTCGGCACTACACTGGTGACCCCGATACGTCTTGGGAAGTTTCCTGGACGGAGCCGAACACGGCAATAGGAACTCGAGTTCCTTTCTCGAAATGCCGGGGTTTGATTGGAGACGTCCGTGGCTGCCACCGGCACGTGGACTGAGGCTCGGTGCGCCCTCCGCGGAAGGCTGGAGACGTTGCTCGCCGTTCCCGCATCGGCTTTCTATACAACGGGGGGACGATACACGACCTGCTGGGTCGACCAGCAACCCCATTGCTACCTCGTGGGTTTGTTCTTCGGGGCGTGCGGCTGCACATCCCGGCTGCTGACCACGTGGGGCTAACGACGGCTAGCAACCACCCATGGCTGCCAGCTAGTGGCTACCCATGGCTGCCAGCTAGCGGCTAACGGCTATGCTAACGGCTAATGCTAACGGCTATTGCTAACGGCTAGTGCTAACGGCTAATGCTAACGGCTATTGCTAACGCCCTTTTCAGTTTTCTGGTGCCGAGAGGAGGTTCGACCAGCCGGTTGACCTCATGTGGACACTCTCACCTTTTTCACCACATCGACGGCGGTTCCAGACGCCACTCACGTTTTCATCGATGCCTGGGTGGTGCACTCCTGGACCCCGTTTCGCCTCGACAGTTCCGGATGTCGCCCATGCTCCATCAGCCCGTGGGTGGCACGCTCCGGGACCCTGTCTGGCCTCTCCTGCTTCCCGAGGATTTCATGCCCGCCGCCGCGGCACGTCTGCCTGCGGCCGGGTTCCTCTCCTGTTTCCCGAGGACGCCTCAGCGCCTGCTGAGGACTTCATGCCCGCCGCCGCGGCACGTCTGCCTGCGGCCAGGTCGCGTTTTTTTCCTATTGGGTTCTCCGCGACGCCTACTGCGGCCCCC